AAATAAAGGAATTTATATTGTTTATGAATACCTTTATTATTTTCTTTATTTTCAACAATAAATACCTTTATTCTAATTAATGAAAATCAAGTTTTAACAAATCATTCATTACTAACTCGCCTCACCTTGAATCTTGTATGTTCGATCACTAAAACACGACATCCACAAAAAGAACGCCACAATTGGAAACCACCACAAAGGTTTGTTGTGTGCGTGAAGGCTCATGCATAAGGCATACGCGTTCGAAAACACTGAACCCCGAAAACCCGAACCGAATCCGACCTGAAATATCCGAACCCGAATTACTTCAGTTTTTAAAAAATATTCGATCGGTTTTTGTTCTTAATTCCCAATAAATATCGAGTATTACCCGAACTTAACCCGCGGACCCGTAGGTACTTTTAAATACCCTAACACATTTACACACATATATATATATATATGTAAGTATGTTAGGTTTTCCTTAATTGTAATAGTTTGGTTTCTTATTTTGTGAGTAAATTGTTTAATTTTAATGGTTGGGATGTTCAAAACATGGTTAAATTTGTTTTCGGTTAATATTTTTCTTAAAAAACTTGTTAGTTTTTGACAACTACTTTCAAATTTGATGGGTACTTTGGATAGGTTCGGATTGCTTTAGGTATATACTACCCATGCCCATTATATTTCGAGTATTTTTGGAATTCTTAAATCGATATCCAAACTACCTGAACCCGAAAAGGAACCGAACCGAACCCGACCCAAAATTTTATAAATACCTGTTACTAACCCCTAAATACCCGACCCGAATACCAATTTGCCCACGCCTAACCATGATAGACTTATTGAAAATGCAATAAATGAAGAGAAGAGTCTTCATCGGTCACACGCGTTTTCATTGTTGTCCATACATGATTCTTTAATGTAAAATGTCAATTTTCAAACCTTTAAAAACATAAATTGTTTATTCAAAACACAAGAAATTACTAGGTTATTATACAAAATCTCCCATGAAAATCCAACTATATCATTTGACCTATAAATTGATTAAAGATAAGAATCGGACTTTGACTAAAATCAGTTTTAAATATTGAGAGTCAATATTGTTAAATTTGAATAAATTTTCATTCTTAATTTGCGAAAACAAGTTAATGGCTCTTAGTTTATTTGAATTAGTCTTTGCTTTAGTTACTCTATAGGATAATTTATACAACATACCGTGTATTGCATGCAAAGAAAGTCATAACAGGATTATTATAAAAAGGTAAAATCTCAATTGCTAGCTTATATATAGACCGGTCCAGCGTTGTTACGAAGATAACAAAAAATATATGTATAGTACATGCTACAAGAAGAATGGGTTTGAAATTGTCAAGCAATGCTCTTATTCTATCTTTCTTTCTTTTACTTCTTTGTCTCTTTTCTGAAATTGGAGGAAGTGAGACCACTCACCGAAAACTAGGTTAGTTCCTTCTTATATATGTAAATGATATTGTAGTTGCATTTATTTTCATTCAAATTATAAAACTTTTCATGTATTGTTCTATATATATGATTCATGTTTATCATTTCTAACATAAATTCCGCATTATTGCTCTTTAGTAGAAGTGCCTATTAGAGAGCTAAGTGTAGGTCCATCTTGTTCATGTGGAGGAGGCAAAGGAAGTGTTAAACGAATATCAAAGGAATGCCCACGTCCACGTCCTTGTCCACCTCCACATCCACATGCACGTTAGATCCTATAAAAGGACGCAAAGAAGAAAGGAGAAAATAAGATTTCAGAATTCTACCTTCTTTTTTGTAACTATGATTTATTATTTATTGAATTATGTTTAGTACTTACCATTTTTATTTATAATTTCTCACACAGAAATTAAAGTGTTGTATCATAATAAATAATACTATTTAATGATTTCTTTTGCTAAAACGGTAAATATTTCATTAAAATAGAAAATGGTTTTGGATACAAATTATGATTATAACCCATGTCCTACGGTAAACAAACATCTAACGAATACTGAAACAAGCCATTGAGATGAAATCTAATTCATGATACATATTTCAGCGACTCATAAGTTTAACTCAAAAACAAAGTCAAGCTAAAGAAACACTTACTCACGAAGTAGTTAGTGAGATTGCTTAGAGAATTGAGAATTCAACAAGAACACTAAATCGGACGATATCATCACCCACCTGAATCGGATTGACTTGGGAATTGGGACCAATCAAACATTAAGGAATGTGAATAATATAGTCACTGATGTGCTAGATTTGAAGATCTCTCATGTAGCACTAGATTTGACGACAATATTTATTTTACTACATTTTTTCATTCAACACGGGAGATGGTGTGAATTAAGTTACTATTTTTTTTTTCGGTGTTTTCCTTTAATATTTCTGCTATTTTAAAACTAGAATGAATGTCCATGCATAATTTTTCAATATTAAAAAGTCAATTTTCAAACTTTTGAAAATATCCCTTGAAAATCCAAGAAATGTTTTAGGTTATTTTGCAAAATATCCCTTGAAAAATCCAACTAAACATTTGACCTAAATACATATAAATTGGTTAAAGATAATAATGGAATATTGACTACGATGATCAGTAACAAACAAATTTTAATTGTTAAAGTCAATATAATTTTTCCAGATAAATTATATTGATGATGAAGTGCTCATCACGAAAGCAATACTTTTGTTCCTATGTTTTTTTTTTTTTTTTTTTTTTTGTCACCTTTCCTATGGTTTTAAATTCAAATAAATGTTCATTCTTAACGCGTTATATCAAAGAAGTTAACGGTTCTTAATCGATTTGAATGAGTCTTTGCTTTTGGAAATTTACACAACTTACCAAGAAATTGCATGCAAAGAAAATCACAATTAGATTATTATAAGAAATTTATCTCAATTGCATATATATACATCGGTCCAGCGTTACTGTTAAGAAAACAAAAAATATATATTGTACATGCTAAAAGAAGAATGGGTTTAAAAATGTCAAGCAATGCTCTTCTTCTATCTTTGTTTCTTTTACTTCTTTGTCTCTTTTCTGACATTGGAGGGAGTAAGACAACTCACCGGATACTAGGTTATTGCCTTCTTATATCAATTTCTACTCTTATTTTAAGCTAACATATGAAAGTAATATAAATGATTAATATATTACAAATATTACACATTTTGCATGCATATTTTTTTTTAATATTAATTCATTATCTTATAAAAATGACTAATATAAATAAATAACTATGGGTTAAGTGAGTACTTTAAAGCACTGCCTGATTAATATAAAAATAATAATAAATACTGCATGATTTTAATTCCTTTGGTAAACACTTTTTCTGCCTTTTTGGTATTAATCAATTATTTATTTATTTTTGGTGAACCATTAATCCATTATTTGAAAAAAAATATTTGAATGCGCTATCCTATATAGCTTTTTATTTATTAATATATATATATATATAGTTTTTTGAAGAATATGCAATATACGTTAATTTTAAAAATGTTTTAACTCAAATCATAATGGGAGAATTTCCAAAATACCCTTTTCAAATACCACTTTTTAAAAATACCCCGTTTTCAATATTTATTAAAAACCCCATTAAAAAGTTGAAATTTATCCAAACATGTCTGTAAGCTTATAAATATACACACAAATGACATTTGTATGTATATAAAAATTTATATATCTTTCATAAATAACATAAAAATAACTTATAAAAACCTTTTAAAAATCTTTTAAAAACCTTATAAACCCTTTTAAAAACCTTTTAACAACCTTATAAAACTTGTAAAGACGATTTGAAACCTTTTAAAATATTATAAAATATTTGGATCAAATCTTCTAGTAGGTGTTATTATATAGAAGTACCTTATAAACCATATAAAACTTTATAATTTTTTATATTTAAAAAGGGGTATTTTTGAAAAGTGATACACCAAAAGGGTTATTTCTCAAAAATTCTCAATCATAATCTTAATATATATTAAGTTTAATAAAAAAATTGTGCAAAAATCGTAGGAGTACTTCTTGTAAAGATTAGTTTCATTTATTCATAATTAATATTTAATAAAAAAATCCGCATCGATTCTTAGTAGAAGAGCCACTTAGAGAGGTAGCTGCATCTCCATCTTGTTCATGCGGAGCAGGCCAAGGAAAATCTCCTCCAAAACAACATCGAAGTCCATGCCATCGTCCACGTCCTTGCCCACCTCCACGTGCACGCTAAACCCTACAAAAGAACTAATAAGAAGAAGGAAAAAAAAGAGAATTCTGTTTTGGTTGTGGCAATTTTTATTTATAGTTTCTTTAACAATATAACTCTTTAATAATTATTACAGAAGATAAATAAAACTCCAAATTGGGTGGTTTCTCAATCCAAATGATTGTGTAGTATTCTGTTTTGTAAGATGTTAGGGTTGATTTCAAAAGACATCAAGGTTGATTGTCATTATGTATGTGACAGTACTCTAGGAGAGCATCATTCAAACATAATATGTACATACTAACATAAACCGTATCAGATTGCTGACATCTTTACTAAGGCTATCTCATAATGTCAAGTTTTAGTATCCTATTATTACATTGAGAATTTGTAACATTCATGCTCTAACTTAAGGAAATTAAAGTATTCGAAATTTGACAGTATGATAATGTATGTCCTTGGATGTAAATTAATGTTCATGTTTTGCTTTGTATTAAACAAGATTAGTGGCTCTTGATTTGAATTAGTCTAACATTTTGATCAAGTATAATATAGATGGTGGAAATGTTCTCCTCTATAAATCTCTATCGATGTCGACCCTTGTCAAAGTCCACCAATAAACTGTGCTTACATACAAACATACATATTTTAAAACAAATCAAAATGTTTCTTTCTTCTACAATTCTTTAAACTAAAAAACGGAAAAGAAATCCATAGATGGTTGACTTTAAAAAGTCTGTATATATCATATGGGGATTACTATATATATATATATATATACATGTAGCGTTACATTACGTACGTACATGCTAGAATACAAATGGGTTCAAAGAAGCCAAGCAATGCTAAGCTTCTATCTTTGTTTCTTCTACTTCTTTGTCTCTTCCCTGAAATTGGAGGGATTCAGACCACTCACCGGAGAGCTGGTCAGTGCCTTATTCTCATATCTAGTTTTATTCTATTGTCTTTTATTTCACTAAAGCTCAAGCTATCAGTGAATTTGTATTCTCTTAAACTATGTATAGGTGATCTAAGAATATTTATTAAACCCTAAGAAATGTTTCAAAACAATGTTCCCTTAATATGAATTCTATGGAAGGATACGTATATCTTTCAGATGTTTCAAATAATAGAGTTATACAAAAGGTCATGTAACTTATTTTATGGTTATGTTGGACACAAGTTATAATCCTAGGATAAGTTTAGAGTCTTCTCCAGAACTTAATCTGCGTTACTTTTGTTGCTCCTGTATATATTCATCATTTTTAATATATAGTTTCTATATGATTATGCATTCAATCTTGGTACAGAGGAACTTGTGAGAGGGAGAATTACAACCCCTCCTTCAGTAACATGTGGAGGCCAAAGACTTGGAGGACCACGACCGCGTTTACCTCCATGCCCACGACCACGACCACGACCACGGCCTCGTTCGCGCTCTTCAAGAAGATCTACTACCAACCCTTGACGGAGAAGAAAAATAAGAATATCAATATTCTGTTTATGTGCTGCCACTTTAATTTCTACTTTTTAAGATACGATCACGAATAAATTGTTGATCCTCATATACACAATATATAATAGTCGTATGAAAAAACCTCCAAGTAAAAGAGTATGTTAGTTTACAAAAAGTGATAATTCAAAAAAACATAAAATAGCTAGTTTTCTCAGTAGTAAACGAAAAATAACTATTTTGTAAATATTTCCTAAGAAAATTACGTAGTCACTAAAAACTTCTTTTACTATTTTAGTATTTTTGTAATATTGGTAGTCGTTTTTATCTGAAGAAATATTTTTATATTATTTTAATCATATATGCTCCGGATTCAGCTATTATTCATTTATTAAATAACTTTTAGTACTCTATGCTAATTGTTTTTCACTTTGCAATAATTGTCATCATTATAATACTACATGTTCACTGATCTACACACTACAAGAAAACATGTTTATTTCTCATGGAACTTTAGGGGAAGAATTTCTCAGAATGTTTTGACAGTTTGACGAAAGATTTCCGAGATATTTTTCAAGGGATTTTTAACAAACAAAAACAGTTTTTTTGAAATTCTTTGAAAATTTGAAAATACGTCGGAAATCCCTTGATAATTTTCAAGGGAAAAAAATTAATTGAAATGTTCTCGAAAAGAAAATAAAATTTTTGACGGATTTTTAAAGATATTGTTTCCTCTAAAATCTATATAAAAAAAATCGTTTTTCGAGAAAGTCCTTTAGAAATATACTGTTTTTTTGTAAAGACATTAAAAAATAAGTGATTTTTATTTATTATAAAAAAACTAGTTAACAGCCAATATTAGTCATCTCATATTCAAATATTCATCTCTACTAATATGAAATGAGAAAGAAGTCGCAATTGGGTTTTGTTTTTTCTCCAAACAAATGGAGAAAACATTTATTTCTTATCAACAAAGAGTCTTGTCGGCTTGTTGCTAATGTAGGAACCGAGCTAACATGAGGATAGGCTTTGGATTATCATCACAAGACTTGCGATTGCGATTGCAATGACCAATGGGTTCACACTGTGATATGAGAACATAGCCGAAGTAAACCGGTATCAACTAAGATAAGGACGAAACGATGAGAATATCATTTGTGATTTTATTTTTGTTAGTGGTTTTAGGTAAATTATGTTAAATCTTCTATTCATGTCTATCCCCTATATTCTAGGATTGCCCTTAACATGCAGTGGCGGACCTATTCACAACTTAGGGAGGTCAGCTGACCTGGTGACTTTTTGAAATTTTCCTTGTTATTACTAAGAACAAACACATTTACCAAAAAAATTTGTTGTATCTTTACTTATACTTGACCTGGTTCAAAATCCATCCTGGGTCCGCTATTGTTAACATGTATAAATACTCATAACATCTTATGATGAAATATATGGAAAAAATGTTTAAAGTCTATTGTTCTTACAAGCTCTTGATTCGGACCTATCACACTGTTTCTTATACTTTTAAGTTTTAACTATTTTCTCTGGAGTCAAAGTCGTAAAGAATCTACAGGCCGTAAACTTTGGTAAGTGTCGATTTGAAAATTAAATTCAAGTTAAACACATTCAAGAACACATATTCATAGTCAAATTTCATGTATGAATAATCTTAAGATAAGATTACACAGTATATATGGAGGATTATAAGAAGGTAATTAGATAGAAAAAATATTTACACAATCATGTTTTCATAGATACGTTACATGCCTCAACAGGATGGAGGGAGTTTCTTAACATATAAGAAGGTAATTTAGAATGTATTTTTCTTAATTACTAATTACATGGTAGAGCGCGGGTTAAGACTGGTATTTTATGAATTGATATCTTTTACGGATTGGTCCTGTAAAATATACACTGTGAGCAATACCAAAAATATCACATAATAAGTAAAAACAGTTCAATATGCCTCTGTTCGTTTTTTTTTTTCTTTCTTCTTTTTCTCATCAATATGCCTTTGATCATGTGCAAGCTTAACGAAGTTACAGAAAGAAAAGAAAAACACATAAATATGAGCAATACAGGATAATTGATAGTGGCAATGTAGATGGGAATAGCCCATTTTATAAATTAGACGTACTTCGTTCATTCTAGTCAAAAGAAACTTCAAAAGCCCACGAAATAGAATTTTCTTGTTTCTATGTTTGTAAATGTAAATTAACGTTCATTCCTAACTTTTTAATTTATGTGATAAATTTTAAGTTGACAAAAAAAAAATATATATCTTTATTTGAATTAGTCTATTGGTTTTTATTCAGAACAACGTTGATGGTATGGAATAAGTCTTCGTCCACATATGTATCGATAAGTTTATACAACGTACCAAAAAACAGCCAAAAAATGTCTTAATTGGTTGGCGTTAGTTATGAACACTTCAATATCTTTAAATAGCTATACATGTAACGTTACATGATACAAGAAGAATGAGTTCCAAGAGTTCAAGCAATGCTCTTCGACTATTTTTGTTTCTCTTACTTCTTTGTCTCATCTCTAAGACCTCTGGCCGGAGAATTGGTCAGTACCTTCTTATATCTCTCTTTTGTTTCACTATAGCTAGCCTTAAACAATCACTAAATTTGTGTTAAATGAATCCTTCAAGCCGCGGTTTAGATATTCGAATTCGATAATAGAGTTACTAGAAATGATATACTTTAGTTTTTATATTCATCAAAAATTTGTATTCGAATTCGAATCCGGCTAGTAAGACAGATATATATTATATATAACACTAACATAAATCACTAAGCTACAAGAAATGTTCATGATATAACTGATCTTTCTCCTCATTTTTAACAAATAATTTTGAACTTATTCCACATTTTCAGTTGTAATAGAAGAACCTGTTAGAGGTCAAATTGAAACCTCTTCATCTTGTACATGTGGAGGAAAAAGAGGTAGTTCTGGAAGACCAAATGACCGTCCATGCCCTCGTCCACCTTCACGTCCATGCCCACCTCAACGTCCTGGCTCTTCAAGAGGATCTACAATACTCTATCATCTCAAAGACAAGGACAAGGCATCCTATCTCTCAACTTGGTTCAGGTTTTTGTAATAATCTGTCCCTAATTAATGTGTGTTTGATATAGAAATTACTGCGTTCTACATTTTACTTTAAACCAATAATGTTTATATATCACATTATTCACATAATTGTAACCAATTTAGTAAGATCATTGGTGACGCTAAATCCAAGGTATAAAATTCTGTTTTACTTTTTTTTTTTTTTTTTTTTTCTAAACAAGTCAACGTTTTACTATCCTTCTCGATCGACTAAATATGAAATGGCGAAGAAGTCGTATTTGGCATATATCATCCACAACAAAGGGACAAAACACTTATCTCTTAAAATTCAATTTTTAGCCACTCTTTTTGTCAACAAGGAATCTTGTGGCTAATGTAGAAACCGTGTTCACTTTGTCAACATTTTAGAAACAACCAAAATATTTTGTGGATATATATACGTCTTCTATATATCTATCACAAGACTTGCGATGACCATAAACGCAACGAAGAAAAAAAAATGGTCTCCAAGTCACTTGGTGCAGTAGTGTTACCACTACTTCTTATTCTTTTGATCACTCTCTCCTCTCAAGTTGAAGTTGTGGAATCTACAAGCCGCAAACTTGGTAAATGTCTTTATACAACAAAATAATACACAATTATATTAGTTAGTGAAAACTGTGAAAAGCTAACGAACTTGAACCAAGCATCTCACTAATTTAATTTAACGTTAATTATAATGCTAGCGTTTTGGGGGAAGCCTATCGTGTGGACTCCTCCTTCAAACTCATGTGGAGCTTCTCCAGCAGCAATAAGTCTTCCATGTGGATGACACGCCGACCATGCAGACGTAGTCGTCCTCCAGGAACTAATATCCCTGTTTTTCAAACTCCTTAATATACTCTCTCACCTTATACTTCAAGTTTGAGTCTCTTTTGTTAGACTTTTGAAGCTACATGCTATATTAATGTGTCTTTAGTTTGATCTGTTTTAGTTCATTGTATCAAGTGTAGATGTCACCTACATTGAATCAGTGAAAGAACTAATGTTGATCAATTAAAAGAAAATATATATACTTATCAATTACTAATTGTGATTATCGTCGATTCGTAATATAATATTAGAAAGCCAGCATACTTTACTAATTAACTAGCGTGTGTTGGAGAAGTAGTACATTTTTAAAACATAATTATAAAACTAGTACAATCACTATTTACAATTAGAAAACTAATGGTCAAGAAAAAAAAACAATAACTATTTACAATTAGAAAACTAGTGCTAAAAAAAAAACAAGTACATTATCACTATTTTCTACTATTTATCGACATTTACGAGAAGGAGCAAGTGGGCTAGTGGTTCTCAACTCTGTTGCCTTTTCACCAAATTCGGGTTCGAACCCGATCTCTCTCAAAGAGAGGCGTATAATTTTTAACGATGTAAAAAAAATTAGAAAACTAATACATTATCTCTTTTTGCTAATATTTCATTGACATTTAAGCACTAAAAATCATAGTATTTACGAGTCTGCCATTAAAATAATTTAAAATATAATTCTTACAGCATGTCTACTGTACAGATGTACACAAATGTTTTTTGTACAATAATAAAAATATTACTAAATATCATCCGTACAGCTTATTAGTGTAAAAATATATGCATATTTTGGTATACTATAATAGTTGTACGGATAAAAATGTGTAATTTTTTATACATTCGTACACTTAGTAAGTTGTACTGATACGTCTATACATATGCATGTACACATACTAAACTGTACAAAAATTGTTTGTACATATATTAAACTGTACAAATAAATATTTATATATAAAAAGTATTCAAAATTTATTAAGCAAAATGCATATCAAATTGCAGAGAAAAAATAAATATTTTAATGTGTCAAATATATTTTTGAATTTTTTTTACAAAACCTAATATGTTAGTTACAAAAATTTTGGGGGTGATGAGACTTAAAGAGAAAAGAAAAATAAAAAGGGTTTGAATGGAGAACATTACAAAAGCAGTTAATCAGCTAAAGTAGAACATCTGCTTTTATGTTCTCATTTAAACAAAGAAAATATTTATCAGATGAACTGCCATTAAACTCCTTTAAAAAAACGGGAATATATTTTTTCATGTTTTTTCTCTAATATGCAGAGCAGTCCACCCATACCCATTTAGGTTTCGAATGGGGAAAACGTAGTAGGCAGAGCAGATCAAGCGAATCATGTAGATCGAGCAGAACAAAAGTGGATCAAGCAGATCTAACATTACAAATTCAGATCAAATATTTATATAATTTTTAGAAATTAATTTTAATTAAATAGATAGAACTCACCACAAACACTCCTAAATGGGTATCGGTGGACTGGTCTGCTTTTTTGAGAAAAAAAACATGAAGAAAAAAAAAGTATTCCAATTTTTTTTTAAAGCAGGACATAAAAGTAGTTGAAAAGCAGTTCATCTACTAAACAATTGTTTTGTTTGAATGGGAATATAAATACAGATGTAATGCTTTAACAAATTAACTGCTTTTGTACTGTAGTCCCATTCAGAACCTTAGAGTGTATGTCGTGAGTTCTCTCTTCTTATTTTTATTTTAATTTCATATTAATTTATCTAAAAACATATATAAATATTTTGAAGCATTTGACAGCTTGATCTATTTTTATTCCGCTTAATATGCATGATCCGCTTGATCTGCTCTACTTGATACGGTCACTCCATTCGAAGCTTAAATCCGAAGAAAAAAAATTACCTTTCTTTGTCATTTTTTATCTCTTTTTTCCTATCTCATTTTTCTCTATCCCACATAGTGAGTCCACCGACTACTTTTATAATTATTAATAGTATATGTATTAATTGTCCTATTATCTTTTGAAAGCATACTAATCCTATTAACCCTTTTGATATTGTATTAAAAAAGGGTGTGTTGGCAGTTTAGTACGTTTATAAAAAGTAATTGGAAAACTAGCACATGTATTATTTATAATTGGGGAAATGGGTGTGTGTTAGTGTTTGTGATATAGAGAATGGTAGAGATAGGAAGGGATGTAGGGTAAGGGAGAGTTTGGAAAAAAAAAAAAAAAATAGGCTTGCATCAATCGTTGAAAAGTTGAGAATGGGTCTGCGTGTGTCACTGTGTGTGGAAATGTGTGGAGAGAGAGTTTTTTTAAAATAATTATTTTTTATTACATCCTCTCATTCTAATAACTAAATATTTGTCAATATAATTCTTATTATGTTATTTTTCACATACAAAAAAATCTACATTTTTCTCTATGATTTGATATGTGTTTTGTTAAATAATTTTAAACTCGGTATAATATTTTATATATACACAATTGTATATATACATATATCCTTATGTACAGCTATTATACATACATTTTTCTGTACATATAGTTATTTGTACAATCTGATTTATGTATGTACAATTGTATTTGTATATATATATATCCTATTGTAGAATTATGAATACAGTTGTTTACTATTTTTACATTACATCTTTACATTTAGTAGGTTGTACGGATTACTTTACACATAGTAGGTTTTACGGATTACTTTTGTACATTACATTTGTACACTCTTTGTAAGCTGTATAGATCTAAAAATTGTAAAAATCATTTTTCATTATCAAATAAAATCAGCAAACAAAATGCATATCATATAACAGACAAAAAAAACATAGATTTTAAAATATCTGAAATTCATAAAAAAAAATTCAGTAGCTAATATTTTAGTTTTTAGATTGAATGGGGAATATAAAAAAAGAAAAAGATAATAAAATAAAATAAAAAATAAAAATCTGAGCATAAAGAAAGAAAATAATTTAATTAAATATTAAGGTAATGTTGTAAATAAGATGTTTTGGTGAGGATTGGCAAGACAAAGAAATAATAAAGCATAGTAAAAAGGGTGAGTAAGCAAATTATAATATGCTTTTTAGTACTATCATTATTTAAAATTAGAGAAATAGAATGTGATTGACTTTTGTGTAATAGAGAAATTGTGAGATAGGAAAATATGTGGGGTAGAGAGAGTAGAGATTAAATTACACAAAAGGGTTCATCTGTTAGTTGTGTGTGTGGGATTGTCACGTAAAAGAGTTATTTAGGTTTTTTTAAAAATCTTTTTTTTATCACACACCATTCTCTCTAATTATTCAAATCTTTATTGTTATATATTTTTTCTAATTTTTGTTCAGATACAAAAAAAATCTATGTTTTCTATTTATAATTTGACATCCATTTTGTTTTACTAATTTTAAGTATATTTTATACCACAATTAACCAATTGCGTACAACATGTACGTTCAATTGTATATGTACAACATAGTGTGTACGTGATGGTTTTGTACATTTGTTGTAGCGTAAGCAGTGGTTCTGAAGGCCGTGATTCTGTACAATGGTTTGTAGAATGGTTGGAATGTACATGATTATGGTGTACAGTGGTTCTTCTGTACAATGCTGCTGTTGTACAGCAGTTCTGCTGGATAAAAACTTGTATGTTAATATATATTACTCTATACTTGTACATTTAGTAAGTTAAACATATTATATTTGTATACTTAATAAGTTGTACGGATTACATATGTACATATAATAAGTTGTACATATTACATCTATACATTTATTAAGCTGTACAAATCTAAAATTTGAAAAATTATTTGACATCATCAAATAAAATTATCTAGCAAAATGCATATCAAATAATAGAGAAAAAATAGGTTTTTATATATCTCAAACTTTTTTTTTGAAAATTATTTTTATGGAATAGCATTATAGCTTTTAGATTGAAGGAGGATAAAAGAAAAAAAAGATAAAAGGAAAAAGAAAAAAAAAATGTGAGCGTAAAAAACAAAAAAAAAAAGAGTGAAAGAGTGCCAAGTGTTGTAAATATGAATTGCTTGTGAGGGTGATAAAGTCTTACAGATCGTGGTAAATAGTATAAGCTGATTGTTTTTCTAACTATAAATAGTAAATGTATCACTTTTATAATTAAGTTTCATAAATGTAGTAAACTTCCTATTAACCTTAGTAAAAATATGGATTTTTCTAATTGTAAATAGTAATTGTACTACTTTTCTAATTTCTTTTTGAAAATGTACTCAAATGCCAATTATCCCAAAAAAAAAAAGCCAGATTTGTGTTGAAGTTTGGACTTAGCTCTATGCTATAGGTTGGAATAGTTACTAATTCTTCAAACCACGACAACAATAAGCTGTCAATTGAAATCCCTAGTTGGAATAATTTTTCTGACTTGTGTTAATGTTTGGGCCGGCTTAGCTCTATGCTATAAGTTGAGGTGTCAACTTCAATGGATCTTAGATAAGATCTCTTATACCATCATTATCAAGGGTATCTTAGAACTAAGATTTACACAGAGAAGTATCTTAAAGATTTACATAAGAAAGTATCTTACCCTTGATAATGATGGTCTTATATATAGCTAGTAATGAAAATAGAAAGATCGAGAGTCCTTGTGAGAGTTGTGAAAGGTTCCTTTCTCTTTCTTATGTAGCTCTTCGATGGTTTATTGGATATACAATCAGGTAGAGATGTCATCAAGAGCATTAGAATCCATATGTAGCTTAGGGGGAACTCGTTACGTCGCTTATTCTTTTTTACTTATTATCTTCTTCAAGCCTCAAGAGCATTAGAATTTAGAATCCGTATGGGTTCAATACAAAGCAAATCTAGGAAAAACTTAATTACAACTCAAATTATAATTACACACTAAGAAGACTAGTTATCTCGTTGTGTTACAAAGAGTATGAGTTCGTTTATTTTCCGTAAAACGAAAACTAAAAAAGTAAAAGAAAAAATATATTGGCGCCAGAGAAACAAACGTCCTACACAACAACAAATTGGTTCCTCTCTGAACTATCTTTAAAAACAATGATTGAGAGATCCATAACACTATATCCCGAATAAAGCATAGGAAGAGATGGACAAAACTAAAGCTTTTATGGATTCGATAACTCGATCGGGTTCTCTACCATTCTTTCTTAATAAACATTGTAATCTTGTTTTTATTTTGTTTGCCAAGATTAATCTAATTTTTAGGTAATGCACACGGTACTACCTTACCATTCATACCACCTAAAAAAATACTGACCAAAAAATTTACCACCTAATAAGCAATATGATATATTCACATTAAGCAAGCAAAGTTTGAAGACAAGAAAAGAAAAGGGATTCTTACGGAATTGTCATTTTCTACGGAAAATTTTTAAAATGTGTCATTTTTGCTAAATTTTTATGGATTTTCTATTTTTAACTTTCAAAAATGTCTATTTTTCCGCTAAAAACGTACTTTATAGTAAATATTAAATCTTAAAGACAATTAAAACTGATTAAACTCAAATATAACGAGTAAAACACATGTTTAATCAAATTTTTCTAACTCAAAAAATGACAATTCCTTTTACCAAAAATGGTATAACCAAAAATTTGGTGCAAATTCATAAATGATTCAAAAACAAAATCATGACCAGTTCAATGACCAGTTCAACTATTACTGATAGTGGCATAGTAGTACGAGACTTTGGTATTTGTTTTCGACATAAGTCAAAGTCATCAGTCGGTTTCATCTAAAACCCCACGATCTCATCATACACATATAGAGACACTGAAAATAAGGTGCACGAGTCAATGCTATTTTCTTCTAAGTCAACTTACATTATTAGTCAACTCAACTTTATTTTTCTTCTCCACTACTTAGAAATGACAAAGAAGTCGCATCTCAATGAATCTTGTAGCTAGGCTTAAGGCTTGTAGGTAATGTAAAAACCGCGTTCACTAGTGAAAAGTTTGAAAAATTACGTATGAGCTAGTAATTTAGCTAGTATCTTCTCTATATATATCACAAGACTTACTATGGAAAAAAAACCACAAAGAAGGAGAAGATGGGTTCTAAGTCTCCAAGCATTGCTGCACTTGTGTTACCACTACTGCTTCTTGTACTTATCACTCTTTGCTCTCAAGTTGAAGTCGTGGAATCTACTGGCCGCAAACTTGGTAAACTTTTCTTACAACAATAACACATTTTATTAATGAATTTTCTTAAGTAAAGGTAAAAGTTACATAATTAGGTCTTAATTAATGACTTTTATAATCATATGAAATTATGAGTAACGAGTTTGTATTGTTATTGATCAAACATTTCAAAAGGTTACATATTTGTATACAAATACAAGTTATTAACCCTAATTATGTGCAAATAAAATAAGTGCATGGCAAGATATTTTATCTTTTGATTAACAATTTGTAAGTAAATTTTGTGAAATTAACGAGTATGATAAATCGATTTGTAGAGTTATAAATTTAAAACTCTATCTAAGTTTAGTTTGAACTTTATTATGGCAGCGTGGGTGTTTTCTGGAACGCCTATTGTGTACACACCACCATCAAGGTCATGTGGAACTTCTCCAGCAGTATTCACTTCAAGGTGGAGAAGACCCCGACGACCATGTAGACTTCCTCCAGGAGGTGTTATTATCACTGGTGACAAATCTCCTTAACTACGTGATTTTGTGTCTCTATGTCAGAACTTTGATGTTCTATGCAATAATAAAGTGTCGTCTGTGGTTTTCTGATTTGGTTTCTTGTCTCAAGTGTACTAAGTAGACTACTTTGTCACGTATGATGAGTCAATAAACTTAATGAACTAATACTTATGGATAAGTTAAGTCCATGATCAGTTACTACTGTTGTTATTATTGTTGTTATTGTACTTATCATCATACTACACCTTCCTCAGCAAAATGTTTAAGGTTTAATTTTGCATGAATAATAAAGAAACTTAATATACCTTTTAGCATTTATTATATTATCAAATATGAATTGTTTCATTTATTTTAAATTAATAGAGAGAAATTAGTAAATATTATACAAAATTTGCAAGAAAAAACAAAATATATAGTAGGTAAACTTGATGGAGACAATAGACTCAACTTTGGGCTTTGTTGATTTTGATGATTATGTTGTAAAAGATTGAAGCAGGGGTATTGTTTTCACTCAAGATTAGGTCTCTCTACCTATGGCTTCAGGGCGTATTCACATTTGGCATATGCTTGCTTTTGCCAAGATATTTGGAGGAACTTTAGACCACCCTTGGGGAAATGCAGCGAGTGTCTAAATGAATAAATCTGGAAGCATGTGAACAAACCGTAATGAGGGATTTAATCTTGCAGTCGAGGGTAGTGAGATTATCCGTGAAGCTTGCAAATAGAGTCTTGAATTAGCTGATGCATGTGAAGTATGGTAACAAATCAAATTTAACTCCCAGCCATAGATAAATTAGATGGCCAGAAATGGATTAGTAATTCACGTTTGTTTTATTTATATGAAACATATTTTTCATTTAAAACATCTCTAGTAAAGAAAAATGTTTATTTGAGATCATTATACAAAATACCGTTAAAATTTAGAAGTTATAGTAATTCTTTGAGTTTGAGATTTGAAATTAAATATATATTATATTTAGGTTACGGCTGTATATTTAGATTTTTGACTGTAAATTTTAAGCTGTATATTATTTTTGTAACTGTAGATTTTATTGTTAAAGTGTTTTGGCTGTGGTTTAATCGAGAGGGGGGGGGAATAGGATTTGAACTTTTTTCGGAGATATCTCCATTAGGGTCAAAGTTCGGGCTCTATCTAGATTGATACGTTAGTTCTCAGGGAGAAATAGATCGTTTTCCCCCTTATTCCTTAACTAGTGCATTGACTAAATTTTTTTACACACTTCTGAAATCCATACATCCGCCCGTGTATGTTGCCGTCACATCTGAAAACACATGCTTCTCTTGTTTCAAACGATACAAACTAGATACAAATTATCATGTGGTTGACCACAAAAAAAACAAAAACAAAAATATATTGGATCTTCAATTACTAGTTGTGGAATCTTTTTGATATTGAGGTTAACAAAGGCTTAATGTTTTTACATCAATTTTCTTTTGGATTTGATCTTTGAGGCAATGTATTAGTTTTAAGTATATGGTGGATGGGAACTTATATGTAACACTTGTATCTGGAAAACCGGGTGGTGTCAATCGACACCATTAATTGTTGGTTTGTCGGTTTAAGTTTTCAATTGTTGGTTCGATTGGGATCGGTTTAGGGGAAAAACATAGGTCGTCAAAAGGAGTAGAAGGCCGTCGTTTTTCATTTGTTTCTCATTTTGGTCGTTTCTAAAGAAGAAAGAATGAGCAGAGAGTGTGAGTTTGATCTTTGGTGCCCTGGAGAGTGTTTCCGGAGAGTTTGAGGCTTGATCTTGGTGGTTCTAGTCTAGAGAAGGATAGATCCATCGTGTTTGGTATTAGGAGAGCCTGTTTTCGTCCATGTTGTTCCATGTTTCCTTGCTGACCATTCTTGTTTCAAAGGTGAGTGCAGGTGCAAGGCTTATCTAAGCGGTTTGATTCATGTTTTGGTGATTTCTATGATTGTTGATTGATTTCGTTTGCTTGTATGTTTTTTGGTGTTGTAGTGCATTTGTATGAGTCTTATGGAGTCTCTAATCGGCCGTGGAGGGCAAGGAAGAGGAGATCCGTCGATAAGAAGCGACTGGAGTGATGTTAGGGTTTTGATGTTGATCGACACCAGTGGTGGGTGTCGATCGACACCAGACTTATGTATCGCGAAGATAGTCGAGAGTGTCGATCGTCACCAGTGGTGGGTGTCGATCGACACTACTTGTCTGTTCGGGTTTTCTGTGGTTACTTTTAATAGAATGCTTGTTATTGTTGGTTATTGCTTGAATGTGAATTATGTTGCTTGTGTGTATAGCCCAGTAGTTAGGATGTGTGTCTCATTAAGTATTTCTGGAAATACTTATGCATCTCTTTCTGTCATGTAGGTAAAGGAAAAATGTGACCGTGGAATCAAAGCGTGGAAAGCGGGATGATATAGGGGTTTGTTGGTTGTCTTGAATAATGTTATGGAATGTTTAGGAATTGCTAGTTCTGGAGTTTAGAAACATGATAGGTTAATTATGTTATTTCGAAATGTTTGCTAGATTGATGGTTAATGCAATTGGTTGCTGGTTTGTGAATTTTATTGTCTTCTGCTGGTTTTATTTGGTTATGGATTGATTTAATAGTAATTACTGGTTAACTGGTTTTAACTGAAATTAGTTGAATTAAATTGGTTTAGTCCGATTTAACTAGTTTAAATTAAATAGGTTAATCCGGTTTGCTTGTTTTAAAAAAAAAATGGTCGGGTCTTTTCATTATCCCATACTGAGATGTGCTATATATATATTTTGAACCTTTTGCAACATTTTACGTATACGATCAATATGGCCACTGGCCACAGTGACTCTTCTCTGCAGTGTTAATATATAGAACCACCAATTATGGATGCATGTGTTGCGGTTTACGTACCCACACGAATTTAAAACCCATGGGAGTTTAGTTTTTCATAAGCAAGCTTATTTTGGATTCAGGGCGGGTAGGGTTACGGAAGAAGCGTGTCGTGGAATCATATGTGAAACCGTTTGTAATTATATGTGTTGGACCTAGTAGTAGTAAGATAAAATTTGTTATGAAGATATAAATATCACTTGCGATAAGATCAAATCAAAACCAGTTGGTGTGAGATCTAAGACATAGAAAAAAATAATGAGATAGTCAAAGTGAAAAGAAGAATTAGTAACGCTGACATATATATACTATGATCGTAGATAGAGTAAGACAAATATTAAGGTACTAATTAAAGTCAAGTAGACCATTGAAAAAATATGTATTCATACTTATATGATCAGTCGCTAGGTCATGACTGCAAGAAGTCGTATCTTGTTTTTTACAACTGAAGATCTTCAAATTAATCTAAGCAATTATATAAAACATGTAATTGTTTATTCTTGTAATAAACGAATCTTGTGACGTTTGAGAAATCGCGTTACTTATGTCATTCCTAATTAAAATATGTTTTGTAAATGACGTAAAAAAACAAATTATTGACTTGGCTAATTACTCTATCTATATATATTGGTCAATAGAGATGATCAAATATGTATGCTAAGATCGGAGAAGAAAAAAATGGGTTCAAAGAAACCATCACATACTCTTGCTCTTCTCTTATCTCTTCTCATTCTGATCATTTTAACTCTTTCTTCTCAAGTTATAATTGTCGAAGCTACAAGTCGCATACTCGGTAAGTATACTTATCTTTAGAAACTTGATAAGACTATCCACATTGGTTTGGTGTTTACAACACCCAATTTCTTACTTTTAATATTTCACATCATCTTCTCTATCTTCCACATCATAATTCAACACTTACATAATTTTTATACTCTACAATAGTTTTGTTTAATAAACTTACAACATCTACCCCACCATTTATATTTCATATTTTTCGTTTGATTTATGCTTATGTTTTTTGGGATTACATATTATGAATCACTATTACTATCAAATAAAATCAAAATAAGTAAATATTAAATAATTTATAAAATTCTTTTTTTTCTTTTTCTTGCAAAACTAGAAATCAATATTTGTTACATTTAATAAATTTCCTAAAATTTCTCCCTAATAAATCAAATATTTCTCCAACATTTTTATATGATCTTATTTGTTTTTAAATTTATATTATTACATAAACATATGTATCATAAAAAATATTATTTTTTGCATATGTTGCAATTTGAATTTTTAGAAACGGATGTATATTACTCAAACGATACAAAAATGGGTGTACCAAAGTATTATTGATAATTGTGTAGCACAAGTCATGTAATAGGGTTGGATAATAATTATATGTTATAATTGATCTCAAGTAATAGGGTTGGATAATAAATATCTAAAATCACAATATCAAATAAAAACAAAACACATGTTCTTATCTATATATTATCATATAATTAAATATATATACATCCATTCACTATCTGCCATGTAGCGCTATGAGACCCATTTTATTTGTTTCAACTATGTTGTAGTCATATCATCTTTTTTTTTTCTTTTTTTTCAACATACCATTGTAGTGATTCAACAACCGCTAAAAAAGTAGTCTTTAACCAGACATGATAATCAAACAAAGAAAGAAAAAAAATTAAGGAGTTAATTATGCATTTTGATGTTGCAGCAAACGGAAACCCCATCATAAGGACTCCACCATCAAAGTCATGTGGAGCTTTGACCGCATCTTGGAGTAAGTATCGTCGACCCTGTAAACGTCCTCTTCCAAGGACTCCATGAACTGCTCCTGCTTCTTACAACTCTCCATAATTATTTAGACCACAAGACACATTTTTATTTCTTTTTGTTTTGGAATTTTCGGTGGTTATGTGACAAAATATAATAAAGTGTATGGTTCTCTGATTGTGTTTCCCTTCTGAACGTCTAAATTAGTATATACCATACATTGATCAAATATACAACTACAAGGATAACTATATTAGACTCACTTTTTTTCTTTCAAGGAAATGAACTTGTATTACTAATAAAAAAATATTGCAAAAGTCAATCGGGTACAAAGTCTCAAATAATGGCATCGTTAAAGTACAAGATGTGGTGTCATAATAAAAAAGCAAATTTGTTTTTGACACTCATGGTCGACACCGAGCTCGACACTCGAGTGTTATATGGATTAATTTGGTTATATGGTTAAAAACTAAAAAAAATTGTGTCGAGTCTTTTTAATTTGGTATCAGAGCCCCTACGATTCTAGAGTTGGGTTAAATGGGTGGTTGTAATGTGATGTGTGAATTTCGTTGATGAGGAATTATGATGTGAATTACATCCTGGTTGATTTTATGTGTTTAATCAATTGTATGGGCATGAAGACATGATGGAGACCCGCCATCATGAATTCGAGCCCCAAGCACTGCAATTTCACATACAGGCTGCAGCGTTCCAGAAGCCGACGCGTGGAGTGCCCTTTGACCGCCCACGTGGTTAGTCCAAACAAACCGATAGTCTAACACGTGGACCCCTGCTCAGTCGAATATCCGATAGGTAACATGTGGACCCCTGCCCTGTCGGTAAGCGTTGGGATATCTGAATTACCAAAAGAAAAAAAATTTTAGGTAATTTTTTAGAACATCACATAAGATTACATGGTTGCAGGCAAAACACGTTTAGGAACACTGGCCAACACCAGTAAAACCACCACCATCCACCATGCTCCATGCTTGATATTTATTTATTTGGTCAGTACGTCTCAGTTAGAGATCTTGTTAACCCAATTTAAATAGGGGAAAATTAGCATTATAATACATTTTCAAAACTTAATTTGTGATATAGTACATTTACTATTCAAAATTGGATAAATATACAATGGGTCCACTATGTGAGATAGATAATGTGTGAGATAGATGAGAAAGTGGGGTATAGTGTAGTGGTGGTAAATTACAAAATGGTAGATGTACAAAAGGCATCCGTACAATTCATTTGTACATATAATATGTGTACAGTTTGATATGTACAAATACAATTGTACATATATATCATATTGTACAAATACATGTATAATACAATATAATAGTCAATATACATACAATTATATCTATACATATATCATTGTATATAGTTTTTATACATACATTTTTCTATACATATAATAAATATACAGTTTGATCTGTACAATTGTATTTGTACATATATCCTATTGTACAAATACGTGTACAATCGTTTACGACTTGTATACTAATATTTGTACACTTATTAAGTTGTACAAATGTACATATGTACACGTTTTAAGTTGTACGGATTAGATCTGTACACTTAGTAAATTGTACATATCTAAAATTAATGAAAATTATTTGTTATTATCAAATAAAATCTTCAAACAAAATGCATATCATATAATAGAGAAAAAAACATAGATTTTTATATATTTGAAACTTGTAAAAAAAAAAAATTTCATTAACTAGTATTTTAGTTTTTAGATTGAAGGGAGAATGTAATTAAAAAGAAAAAAGAAAAATAAATAAATATTAATTAAAATTCTGAGAGGAAAGAAAAATATAATTTAATTATATATTAATGGCATTGTTGTAAATAAGATGTTTTGGTGAGAATTGACAAGGCAAAAAAATAAAATAGCATAGTAAAAATGTGGATTTTGCTAATTGTAAATAGTAATTGTAGTATTTCTACAATTATGTTTCAAAAACTGTCTATTTCTCCAATTATTCCTTTAAATAGCCATGTACTGTTAATACTTGGCAATTTCGGAGACATTAAAGACTCTTTTAAAGTCTTCACTTTCTGTACGTATTTATTATGCTCTCTACTTTTAATATATATACAAATCATTAGCTAGTTGATATATAATATTGAAGCAAGAAAAATAATGGTTACAATGACATCGATCACTCGTTGCTCTTCTTTTATTTTTCGTTTCTCTCTTTGTTCTTCTAGTCGGAGGACAAGGTCAAAGGGTTCGTACCCCGGTTATGTCACGAATCCATGCACCACCTTCAGAATCACGTAGAGGTCAAGGTCGGTAGCAATTAGCAAAGTCCTATGTGATAAATGTCTTGTATCATATTATATCAAAAGTTATAAGGTCTCGTTTATGTATGTTATGAATGATAATATATATGGACATATTATCACTATTCTCTTTGGTTAAATATATATTTTAAGGGTGACCTTGTTTATATGTTATTTTAAGTCTAAATTTCCAAGTTAATTTATATATAACTTGACAAAGAAAAACTCGAATATTTGCGAAAGTTCTTTCTCAATGTTCGATTTTATGTTTTTAGGCTTTATAATATATGAAGAACACAACCTTCTTTGCCGGAAGAACAAAGGAAAAAACACTGACGTGATGATACTCAAAAATATACATCTTGCTCCTTAAGTATAAACTTCACTCTTGAAAATAGGAGTGTGAACGTCGGTGTTGTTATCATGGAATTGTTACTCACAAATACCTCTGAGTGAGATTGACTAAGCTTTCCAAGTCTAAGAAGTACCTCTGAGTGAGCCATGCAATACTCTCCAAGTATAGACCTGAACTGTTCTCACACTTATATTTGTTATTCATGGTGCATTAGAGCCATCCTCCTAATTCTCAACGTTCTTACTTCGATGATGCATTCTCATGTCAGCCATCTTCATGTGAGGTTCAAACTTGTTGTGTTGCTTTCACCCCACACCAAGTTTGCGGGGGAGTATTAATTAGAGCATCCTTAACATAAGGTTTTGAAGTGCCCAATACTATGAAACAAACAAGCCCATGTAACTAGGGTTCTCTAGCAAGATGGATTACTATATAAAGTGAGTAATGAACATTATTGTCTTTAACCCTTGAGAGTTGTTTAACTTTTACTTTATTAATCTAATTCAATTAGCGATGCAAAGTAACTTTTACTTTACTAATCTTCCATTTAACTTTGAGAAGAAAAAATTCATGCTTTGTTGGAAGTGTCGAGAAGATTTTTTACCCCCAAAAAAGGTGAAATCACAAAATGCTTTACAACTCGACTGAGTAAGAAACCTTTTGAAATAACAATTTTGACTGCGCAGACCAATGACAGACATTTGCAAGAATTACATTTTGCAAGAATAATGTTTATGCAAGAATTAAGTTTTAAAAAGGCAAATATGATATGGATTCTGGACCTGAAAAAGTTTTTGCTTACTATAATTTCTTGAATTGGTCAACAAGTAGCCTTGAACAGTTCTTTATTTTTTTGTAAAATCCAAAACTAAAAATTAAAATCTAAAATATATAATCAAAACCACTTAAAAATCTCCTAAACATTCATAGCCTTAATAAGTGTGGGTTCTGCACAGATGAAACAACAAGAGAGATTAGGAGAGTGGAGAAAACCAAAGAGTAACCTTACAATATTAAACTCGAAGCAATGAAAAGGATACGAGGACTATACGCAAATTATTTTTTGCAATCATATCATCGGACAAAGAAACATATAGAGGAAACCAAGATGAATTTATAATAGTCAATTTCTTGAATATTGGTAGTATATTTGTGACGGTTAAACTAAATACGAAACAATACACATCAACCAAGAGTATGAGTTTTTAATAAAAAGATGGCGACAGAAATTTATAAAATAGATTATTTAACTATTTTTGCCACCACTCTTTGTTTTTATAGCTCATACTCATATTTAATATGTCTTTCGTAAATAGTGAAAACGTCATAGATACTCTATCAATATTCGAGAATCGACTGATATAAAATCATCTTTGTTTTCTTCATATCTTTGGCTATCAACTGGAAATTATGTTTGTATAATGTATTTCTTATATTCGATATTGAGGAATGCCAAAGCAAGCATCAATAAATCAAATTAATGTTGTATGTTATTCTAAAATGTTTTGCAATTAAGTTAATGTGTAGATGCTCAAGAATTATACCAGAAAGAAGAAGAAATAACACACAAGAGATAAACTTACCAACGAAAGTGGCAACGAGACAGCTACAAGTGAAGGCTTGGAAAAATATGGTTATTCAAAAATTTCATATGTGGATCACAAAATATAAAAAAGACCATCAACCATTAAGAGATATTGCATAAAAAAGTAGAAACTAAAAATCTCTAAGAACTTACAAAAAGAGATTAGATCTTCCAGCAACCATTTTATTTTATATTAAAATGAACAATGAGACAATTTGGAATAGAACTTTCAGAGAGGAAATGTTATATAGAACAAATTATGTTGACTTTCCTTATTTCCAAAAAGGAGAAGTCATTTATTTAGACTATTCTTTTAATTTGAAAATTCTAATATAAACTTAGGTAAAACTCACCTACAAACAATACGTGCATAACTATAATTTTGTACAAATTATGTTTGAGTTAAAAATAAAATCATGATTAAATTCAACCGTGATAGTATATAGGACACAACGCCAATGCTTTTAAATATTTTATTATTATATATACATGTATATTTATTTATATTTTAAAGAAAAATATTTTTTTATATTTTATATTTTGATTCTTAGAAAACAAAAAACTTAGAAAGTTATTGATTCTAGGTCCCAGTCAAACTTTTATGAAGTAATAAATAAATTTGACAAGTCAAAAGTTGATTTTCATTTTCTCAGTCAAAAGTTTCTATTACTATAAAGTAGTAATAAATTTAATATGAAGTATAAACAGTAAACAAAATAATAATAAATTAATTTTCTTACCAAAATGTTTATATTAGGTCCCAGTCAAAATTTTATAAAGAAAAAAATAAATTTAATAGGGATGTTAATTATTATTTTTCTCAGTCAAGATTTTATATTGTTATAAGGTAATAAATAAAGTTGACAAGAAGGTAATAAATAAATTTAATAAGGATTATAATTATGTGGGAAACTATAATGCAGGGGTTCAGATAAAAGAAAAATTCAATATCCATTCCTAATAATATTTTATTTAGCTCTTTTTTTTACTGACATTTCTCTCCCTATATCTATGCTAT